ATTTTTGCGCAGCCGTGAATGGTCCTGCAGTGGCCACCACAAGCCAGCAATATGTTAAGAAGATGTAAGAGACACCAAACCGATTTGAAAATCCCCAGAAGCAGCCCTATCAATTGGTAGGATACTTAAGTATCCTGCCGAAGTTGACAAAATCCTGGACGAGCCTACCTAATGGCAAGTAGAGCTCTACGAGAGCTTTACATTGGGTCTACAATATAGACCCCCAATTTTCAGCCCGACAGGGGGTACCTCCTTCATTGCGAAAACCTCCGTTTTTTCGAAACACAGTAGTAAAGTACTTTTTTAGGCGTGTAATATTAGGAAATATTTATTGGGTATAAAAAATAGTAAAAAAATATTATACAGTAAAAATTTTTAGTTTTCCGTGCACATTTCACAGTCCCACATTATGCGGTGTACTGTTCAGTAAGCTGGATTATGTGAAGCCCCCGCCACCTGAAGACCCAGGCCCCTCGTCTTCGTTAGAATTGTCGTCTGCAGGAAAGAAAGATAATAGCAAAGTTGTGAAGTATAAATCACTGGTGAAGGCCGTAGTCTAATCGCATGGTAACACCTTGTAAATAATGTTGTCGATTTAAATCACCATGGTTGCGAGGCCGCCTGGGGCTGATGCACCTTTTGCGGTTCATTCGATTGTATGCCTTCCTAAAGGCTCTCTGGAATACCCTCTTAATCTCTCCACGGTCACCGTTGTTCGCCGTGCACCAGGCGTCTCCAAACGCTGCGTTCGGGAGGGTGAAAAGGGAATACATGATAGCTTACTTGTTACAAGGGCGTAGAGGTTGGACTTCTCAAAGGCCCTCTTTGGATTCTCTACGTACGCGCCCGTGAAAGTCACGTCGGTGATAATGGAATCGGCAAACAGGGTTTTGAATACCCCGTCCGCCATTATGTAGATCGTTGGGCCACCCAAGGTAGTTAAGTAGTTAATCTGATAAAGGGTGTTATCACAAAATTATAACATACAAGCTGGCGCCTGAAAGTCCCATCAGAAATCCTTAAGAGCAGCTGATCATACTCGTGCAAGTTAGTTACGCGAGTGAAAACGACTGCTTCAGGGGTAGGGGTACAGGGACTGTAATATGCAACGTCCTCCGGTAGGTGAACAATGCTGTGCACATTATACACCATTTTCCCTAGACCATAGAGTTTTTCATGCCTCTCAATAAAACTTTTCGGTAAGGCTGTCGCGTATGGTACCCAGTCCTTGCAAGAATTTGGGCGAACTAGAAAACGAATGGCTTTAGA